CCCCTCCAGTATTTTTTAATGTGTTTTTATTTCTTAGGTAGAGAAGATTATCTGTAATTTAAAACCAGCTTTAAAGCTTCGTCTTCGATTCATCACACATATTAGCAAGATGGAACCAGCTGCAGTGCCTCCACAAGCTATAAATAGTGGATCTCCAGCACCTCAGTCTAATCAGGTGCCAGCATCCTTACCAGTAACTCAGTGAAGTTAGAGTTACTGTAGTAAGAATGGAAATATACCTGTCTTAGAAAGTGGACTCAAGTTTATTAAATCTGAATGTGATCATGCTAAAGTGATGTGGTAGAAGAAGCAGCAGAGATATTCAGATTGTTTTCTTTTGATTCAAATGGTGAATCTCCTCACACCTTAATTCCCATCTCCCTGTCTATATTTTTGTCTCTAAGAGATCAAGTAAGCTACATATTGTTCATATTCATAGCAGTTAAGAGCACCCTAGGAACACAGGTGTATACTGTGATCAAATGATTTTTGCCTTGTATTCTCAGTCTTTCCTATTTTAGCCATTGTTTTTATTTTTATTTTTATGTTTTATTATTGTATAGTCAGTCTTAAAGTACTTTGCTTTCAAGACAGAACACATGTAAAATAACCATTACAAATCCTTTTATACATAAATCTTCTTTTGTGATTCTTCAGGATAATAGAGATTTTTATCAAATAAAGGACTCTGGGTTTCATTGCATTGCAGAAGCAAACAAAGTTTTGTATTTTTTTTAAAGGCTTGAAATTTTTATTGTAAATTTCCAAGTAAATAGTCTAATGTTTCTATCGAGGTAGATGGGCAGTTTTTGTCTTTGCTTTGAACTTACCAGATGAAATGAATTGGAAGCCATGTAAGAAAATATCATCTGAAAATGCATACATTTAAATAAAATCATGCTTAAATGGCTGATTCCCGACTCTCTGTCTGTAAAAATCAGTTGCTTTTGCATGTTGATATCCTCACCTGGAATTTTCATAATTCCAAATTTTTTAAATATATGGATTTTTAAAATACATTTTGGTTCTTTAGAGTTTATTAGATTTCTGAAA